TATTCATCTACTTTTGAAGTAGTTCTAATGATTCGTGAATAATTAGGAATTTGAACTATGATGATGATGATGATGATGATGATGATGATGATGATGATGATGAGGTATAAGTGTATTCAAATTGCATTATTGTATCAAATGCTTGAACAAATGAAGTTGAAGTGGTGGGCATTATCAGCTCTTTTGCTACTTTGAACTTGATATTCTTGCGGAAAAAAGGAACATTATTTAATTTTGTTAAACCAATTTGAAACCCCATTGTTAAACTGGAGTTTTGAATTGAATGGTGGTTGTATTGATAATGGCAGTAACAAAGTGGCAGCAGTAATAATACATATTTATCTTTTGAAAAATCACATAAAACGCTATCTATAAATCTAGGGCCACGACCAGTTGGTCCGACCAATAAAAATTAATTATATACGTGTAAGCCAAACCGCAGTTAAACTGGACAGATTAATTATTTATCATAGCAATATTATTATATATAAGTTAAAAAAGAGAAATTTATAAATAATAAAACATAACTATTTAATGATTGATAAAACGTTTATTTTTGTAAAACTTGCTTTGCAAGTTTCATAGATCTTGTCTTTAATACTTGCTTTGATCACTCCTACACAAACTATTGAATAATTAATAAAACGTTCGTTAGTATATTTTGTTCATAGATCTTGTCCTTAATGCTTACTTTGATCACTCCTATACAACTATTGAATAATTGATAAAACATTCGTTAGTATGTTTTGTTCATAGAACATGTCCTTGATGCTTACTTCAATCACTCTTATACAACTATTGAATAGTTGATAAAACATTTGTTGGTATGTTTTGTTCATAGAACTTGTCCTTAATGCTTACTTTGATCACTCTTATACAACTATTGAATAATTGATAAAACATTCGTTAGTATGTTTTTTTCATAGATCCTGTCCTTAACACTTACTTCGATTACTCCTATAGAACTATTGAATAATTGATAAAACATTTGTTAGTGTATTTTGCAAGCTTCATAGATCTTGTCCTTAGTGCTTACTTCAATCACTACTACACAAACTATTTAATAATTGATAAAATGTTTGTTAGTATATTTGGCAAGCTTCATAGATCTTGTACTTAACACTCACTTTGATCACTCCTACACAAACTGGATCTTAATCTTTATTATCATCCTCAAAAAGATGATTCGTTGTCATCACTTGCTAATTGTTGTATTAATATTATTGTTTAATGTTGCTATAACAACTACTGATCAATGGATATTCATTAATGAAACTTTAATCAATACAAAGTCAGAAATATAAAACAATCACCAATAAAATACCTTTTAATTTTTGCTGAATCCCCTTCTACATAAAATTCATGACTATTAAAATTTCTATAAAATAGTTTTTCGTGAACCTCTCTAAAACTTATTAACCAATACCCCCAATAAAGTAATGACCATATGAAAGCTTAAAGTATTCTACACCTTCTCATTTACTATCAAGTCGTTTAAAGCGATATTGAGAAAATAATCAGAGTTTTGAAGTGAAGAAGTAATACCGTTTTTGAATAGCCGTGAATTCATGTAAATAAGACCTTTCAGTATGGAAAGGTATTCATTGGAAAGCTTTAATGGAGTACTTTCATTTTACTCTAATAATGAAATTCGAGTATAAAAATAAACTTCATGTGACACGAATTTCAAATTTAAATTTACATATAGAAAATCAATTGATGTGACATTGTCACACAACTAGTTAGTTTTTCTCCTTAATCTTTTTTTTTTTCAAATCAAAAAAATTTTTTTTTGCAAAAAAGTTAGTCAGGCATTCATCAGTAAATGACTAGAAGTATGGTATGATACTGAAGGAGAAGTGTTATTTGATAACGACTAGAAGTGCTTTTTTTATTGATCTATTTTTTTTTTTTTTTTTTTATAATTTTATTATCTTATTAGTAGTGAAATAAAAATATGGAACAGGATTTGTCATTGTCTCTAGGTATTTATTAAGATTCTTCTATCATGATAACAAATGATTGGTGTTGCTTTTTGTAACTGTTATTAATATTAAACAATTATAGGAAATAGTCAAGGCAACATGAATGTGGAAACAACAATGATGGAACATTTAATTATCAGAAATTGGCAGATGCCGCCTTATCTAAAGCACTAAACTATTCTCAATCTTCCTATTGGTATAAAGGCTAATCTGACCCGGATCCCCCGATGATAGATGATGCAACTAGATTCCAGGGGGGGCCACATGGCCTGGAGTTTGCCAAGATTGCATTATTGTCAAAGGACACTTTGATGACCTAATCTTCCCTGCAGCAACAATCTTGTATCTAGTGTAAAGATGGCTACAACTAAGAAGTCACAACTCAGGAGGTCACAGAATTTTGAATAATTGTAATATTAGGAATCTGAATCACATTTACAAGCTAGGAGGTTGTGATTCTGAGGTTACATTTGGGCTAATTTTCAAAGAGCTGCTGGATATTTTCTGGATTTAGATACATATGATCACTAGGATCTTGGGCTTGAGAGGAAGGCCATAATCATTTTCTTAAATTCTCTGTTTTGATAAATTTTCTTTGATTAACTAATTTATTTTTTTTTTTAAATGGGATGGGGACTGGACTTTTCCCCAATCAGTTCCCTACCCTAGGTTCAGGCTTTTATTTGCGAGTAGACATGCCATCAACTAAGCAGCAATTTAACAGTTGATGGGTGCAATGGAGCTAATGGTTCAGCATTATATGCCAACAGAAAAGCCTGATCTGAGGGGAGAATGGGTAAACCCACATCAATGCAGTCCTCATGGAGGTTCTCAAAACCTCTTGTCCAAAGCCTTCCAATTTGTTCAAGCCTCTTTCATCTGTGGAAAAATTCTATATGTTGAAGGGTGCTTATAGCATGGCGCTTGCATATTTGTGTTAGGAAAATTTTATTAAATCTGACACTTGTGATCAATATAATCAGATTTATTATGGTTTTTAAGGAACTTCAAACCTGGGTTGACACATTATTAAAAGTTTTATCTTTATTTATTTCATATAGATTATAATTTTCTTTTTTTCTGCATGGTCTTTGTATTATTTATTACTCAGATGATGCAATTGTTTGTTATGTCAATGATAACATCAAATATATTGAATAATCATTATAATGGACATGTTTGGAGGCATTCATGCTCAAGGAAAAGATTAAATAGTAATGAAAAACTAAGTAATGTTTTTTTTTTTTATTTTAACCAAGACATAATTAATTATATTTAAAGATATACAGTAAAAAATTTGCCAGAGCAATTGCATGGAATCCAAGGATGCACCAATTGCGCCATTATATCAAGCCATTATTTGAATACCTTGCTGCAATCTTATTGAAGGGGGGAGTAAGGTTTGTATGTGATTTAAAATTCTTTTGTGGAAATTAAAGTCTTATCTTTCTTCATTTAATTGATTCTCATTTGTAGCATGAATTCCATAATGTGAAACAAAGTCTACAATACCACTAGATAATAGTTCTATTGTTGACGAAATAATAAATTTAAGCCTTTAGAAATGATCATCACATTACAAGTTATTCATGTAATTTTTTTTCTTGCAAAAAAAAATTAATTAAACAAAAAAAACTATGACTTGAAGAGTTGACATATGTCAGGGAAAACTAGAAGTTTATGTCATAATTTTATTAAAGCAATTGTTTGGTATAATTCTGAAAAAATTATCATATTTATTAGTAAAATTGCCTAAATTAATATCTTATTTAAAAAAACCAAAACAATTGGTTATTGGAAACTTATGGATCTTGAAATTATTTCAGGAATCAAGCAATATTTTATATTCCGATATACAACAAGGCTGGCCTGACCAGAATGCACAAGGGTATGATGATGCAATGAAAATTCCAGAGGAGGCATTGAAATTGTCAAGAGATTGTTAAAGCCTCTCACTTGGCTGAAGCCTCCAACTTTGCCTAGGACTTTGTTTGTAGAAGCATTCAACAGTTATGAGGTACTTCACATGTTTATTTATTGAAGGAAAATTTTATCAAATCTACAGCTAAGTTCAATGTTATATTTGATATTGTTTTTTATTTTTTGAATTGATTTTTATGGGCATTAAATACAATTGGAGGAGAAACTCAACCACACTATCACTTGGGTGACAGAGCTATTGCAGGTAAAAATTAAATTTGATTTAGGTTAAATATGCAGTAAGATGCACTGTTTTAGTTAAATAAAGGTCAACCTTTTGATAATGGCATATTTTAACCATTGTCAAAATTTTTTTTACCAATGCATTGTCTTACATAGAAAAGACTTTTGGATCAAAACCATTAAGGGTTTTTTCAAAACTGTTCCATAAATTTTCATTTTTGGATGGTATTACTTGGGTGATGCAATTATTCAAATAACAAAAAGGTATGCTCTTTATGTAATGGGCCATTTGGCTTGGGAAAAATAGAGAGAATCTGCTATAGATAGTAATAATTTGTGTGTGACATATAAATTGGGCTTGTATTTGCAGTTTATAGAGAGCGAATTGTGATATTTAGAGAAAATATAAGTATCGATTTTTGTTAATATAAGTATTGATTTTTGTTAATATTGATTTTTATTATTTATTTAAACAGTTTGATTTGATTTAATATTCCTACAAAAATTCATCATAAAAGGGAATTGAACAACTTCTGATATTTGCTTGAAAAAGCAAAGGACAAGTTTGGATGGGTCCTTGCTTGAAACAGCAGGGGAAATCAAATACTGCGTTAGCATCATCAGGAAATTTAATATTGAATTAAGCTTGCCTGCTGAAACTCGTTTATAGTTTCATTTGTTACCTTAGAAGAGTCGGACAACACCTTTGATATAGAGAAAATAATTTAGCGGTGTTACAAAATCGTTATTTTTTTCTTCACGACAAATAAACCTGGTTCTATCATTATATCGAACAAAAAACGAATCTTGATATACATATAGTTATAGTTGTTAAAATAATAGGTCTAAACCCTAAATTATAGATTGCTCCAAGACTGCTGATAAAATTGTTGAACGTGCAGCCATTACTTCTACCTTTAATTTGTCTAA